CCCCAAAACCCCAAAACCCCAAAACCCCAAAACCCCAAAACCCCAAAACCCCTTAAATACCGTGATCTATTGAAAAAGATTTATGACGGATTTTTAATAATTTATGTGCATGTCGTGCACAAAATCTGATTCATTGAAGGAAGGATCTACAGCGACTGACTTGAGTAACCCTTCCTCGTCTTCAGCAAATCTTACAGTTTTTCTTCCACTACTAAAAGGAGATAGGTCCCCATAAGTAGCATTGTGGAGTTTAGATCCTCCAGTATCTTTTTGAGGAGAATTTCTGCTGTATGGTCTCAAACTATCAACTCTATGAGAATCTGCAAAGGCATCTTTGTTCCTTAAGGTATCTGTCCGATCTGGGGTAAAATCATCAATTTCATCAACTTCATACTGATAGACATTACCCCCTTTACCAGATACTCTCTTTTTAGAAGGAGAGGCCGATGCGTAAAGCAGCTCTTTTTGTTCATAATAGTCATCATTGTCAAAATCATGCTTGCGTTTATTAAAAGTAATCACTTCGTTATTTTTGATATTACCGTTAATACTATTTTTAGATTAGATATGATGCCAAATAGTTATTTAGTCATCCAAAATCAAGATTATTAAAATAGAGACTCACCTTAGCCCAGCTTCTCTTTCATTCTTGTATTTCCCATACCGCCTCACTCCTGACTTGGGACGGTTGATTAGTGCGATCTCATTTGGATTAATAGTCCTGGAGAATCAATCACTTTTCATATTTCTTATACTTTTGCTCATCCTGGATACGTTGACCCATGACTCATAATCATTTCGAGATTCTTGCTGGGTCTGATCTGGGAGGACAAAAGTATCTCTATCTCTGTCAAGGACTATATTCTGGGTAGATCCATAACTTTCTTCTTTGTACTCAACAGTAATGGCTCCAGGGATATCATAGCTAACCTCTCTGAAGTTCGCATAGCCAATCAGGTCTCTGAATCCTTGTTGAGGAAGAGTAGTTGAGTATCTTTTCTTATCAAAATTATTTGAAGTTGTTGTATAACTTCTTTTCTTCACATTTGCAGATTCCTTGATAAAAGTTGAATTTTTGAGAACTGGCTTAAAGATTTCAGTTTTTGCTGTTATTCTGTTTACTTGAGTGTTCTCATTACTATTGCGCTTTCTTCTGACAGTAGGTCTATATAATGGCTTTACTGATGCAACAGTGTTGTAATTTTTCCTCCTGTACTCTATTTCATCCATCTCTTCTAAGCTTTCTTCATTCTCGTCAGTCTGGAGTCTTTGTTTTTTTATTGGGCTTAAGCTTAAGCTTTCATCACTGTTTGATGATCTGCTTCTTGATCTGATTTTCTTTTTATCACTTCCTACTTTTATTCTGTTATTTCCATTTTTCTCAGTTAGAACATTGGTACGTCTAAGAAGATCTTTCTCAAACGATTCTTCCATTTTTATCTCGATATTATTGTTTTGGTGCACTTTAGCTCGGTCACTTTTCTTTTTCCTTTTCTTTTTATCTTTTTGTGCTCCCATTTTGTTTTTCTTGGCTAGTCTTTTACCAGAGGCTGGGTAAAGTGCAACAGATGTTTTTGTTATTCGCTCGTTAGGCAGTTTGTTTGCAACTTGTGTGTTATTTAAATCCTGGTAATAAACTTCTATAGGCTCATCATCCTCCTCGTCTATATATTCAAATGCTTTCTTTTTATCTGCGTGATTGTCATTAGGAGATCTGTTTGTTGGAGCAATCTTGAAGTTAAAATTCTTGGATTGTCTTAACCCAATAGTATTTTCTCTCTTTACTTCCTGCATTACTTTCACCGAGTCTCTTGTTGGAGGTCTTCTATCACTTTCTGAAGCAGAAGCGATTTCTTCATCAAAAATATGAGAACTATCATGATCAAATACATCCCAGTTGGGTATTGTTTTAGCTGGTCCTTTTGTAGAATGATTAGTGTTTGGTTCATTATTTTTCTTGAGAATTCCCTTCTTGTGTTTCTTCTTGCCATACTTCTTGACTTTCTTCAAATCCTCTACTGTTTCGTCACTATCCTTTGGGATGATTTGGTTGTTAGTAACGTGGGTTGACCTTCTCCTCCTGATCTCTGAGAAGTACGACCGTTCACTATTTTTCTCCATTAAATTTTATGTTTGCTCAATTAAAAATGATTTAACCGGGGTTTTGGGGTTTTGGGGTTTTGGGGTTTTGGGGTTTTGGGG